CAAATACTTAGGTTGATAAATTTTCTATATTAATATTTCATATGTTAGTTTCTTATATTTTTTGATTAAAATTCTGCAGGGTTTTGTTTGAATTGTTGGCTTTTTTTATATTTTTTGGGTTAAAGCAAAATTAAATATTTAATTTTTATAATTAATAAAGATATATTTAATAATTATTCATATAAAAATACTACAAATTTAATACTAAATAATATTCAATTTATTTCATTCCTAACGATTTGTTTGTTAACTTTTATATTTTGCCCAAAAAATCTGGCAGCNTTGGAAAAGAACCGTGGCCCAAAGAAAAACCAAGGGGGAGTTACTACACTACCTAAAAACTAAAATAAAAAATCTTTTTGGTATTTTCTCTAGACTAACTTCCCTCAAGAAAATTGTCTAAAGGATCCGTCATCAGGAAGAGTCTCTATATTCCATTTTTTTTTCTCGACTTAGTCCCTCAAGAACCCCGCCAAAAGAGTATCCGTCGCCGGGACAAGTCACTTAATGTAAAATACTAAAGTCACATATAACACTAATTATTCAATAAATAACAATATATAATTTTCATGATTTTTTAGCACATAAATAAACTAAACCGGATAAAAAACTAGAAATAATTAAATCACAAAACGATCACAAAAAGCATACAACACAGTAAAAATAAAGAATTAGTAATTTATATACATGAGTTTTACTAAAAAGTGAGTCGGAATACCTCGATTTAGAATTTTTTGAATTGAGAAAAATTGATAATTTGACCACCGAAACGAGCAATAGAAGAGATCCACTACACGACAACACCTTGGATCTGGTGTTAGCTCGCTAAAATACTGAGGGGACACGATTTTTGGGGGACGGGTGGGCTCCAATGGAGATTAAAGCTTTAAAGTAGGGGGGAGGGGGGGGACCGTTCTGTTGCGAGGAAGATGGATAGGCCATATATAATCTGGGTATAGCGCATATATGTAATGCACTATACCTACTTGTCCTTTTAAGTTCAGGTATAATGCATCCCGTACATGCACTATACTTATATTTTGACTGCCAATTTAAAAATTCAAATATAGCGCATGCAACGCATGAGTTATACATAAATTGGTCATCAGTTGGTTTTTTCATCTTTTTTGTGCTTTGAGTCAAAAAAATCACACTTTGGTTCCGGACTCTAAATATAAGTACACCTTCAAAACTTCTCCTTTTCCTGAGTAAATTTTGTGAGTGGTTATCCAACTTTTTGTTCATCACTCAAAAGTCAATTTTTTTATTACGTAACATTTAATTTGTGTTGGTTACTCAAAAGTCACTTTTATTTCTTTGTACTACACAAAAATCATTTTATTTGACCAGATTTTATAAAATTTTCACCTGAAAAGTCTACTATGATCTTGACATGATAAATCCTTCCATTTATGTAATACCTTCTATGTTATATACTATATCATATATTTTTACCTAGGTATTTTATTTATAATCAAAATAACTTAATATTATTTTATTTATTATTTTTATAAAATATTGATACTTTTAATTTTCCCTTAACATTAATTTTCAAGATGTATAGGTAGCATTATTAAATTTATTAGTAACATTACTATGAACAAATCTTAAATCAACGTTCTTAACCATGCCTAGTGAAATATTTTGAATAAAAATTATAACATCAAAGCTTATAGATTTATTAGCCAAACCATATTCTTTAATCCAATAAACAAAGTACCCACATTTAGCACACTGACACATCAGATGAACACTTTCAAATAAATAATATTAACATATAAGCTTTAAAAAAATTAAATATTAAACACAAATATCTTTTTTTTTATGTTTTATTGGCCATAAAAAAAACTATCATTTGTTGAGCAAATCTGTTTTTATTATTTAAAATAAACTTTAAAAAATAAATATTTTTTTGTCATATTTATTTTAAGATATGTTCATGTTTGGATATGATTAAACAAATTGAGTGCTATGGGAAAATTAAATGAATGGATATATTAAACAAACAATAAAGACAATAATTATAAGTAAAATATCTAGGTAAACTTATATAGCATATAATATATAATGTATTACATAAATGAAAGGATTTATAATGTCAAAAGGCATAATAGACTTTTCAAGTAAAATTATTATAAAATCTGGCTAAGGTAATTTTAACTAGAGCAAAGCAAAACGATTTTTTGTGTAACAAAAGAAAGAACAATAACTTTTGGGTAATAAATACAAAGTTGAATGACTTTTACGTAAAAAAGATGACTTTTGAGTAATGAACACAAAACTGAATGACCACCCATGAAATTTACTCCCTTTTCCTCCTCTTTCCTCCTCCTGAAAATCTATGATCACACAACTAAGAGCCCGTTTGGACAAAAACAAATTCACTTTTTTCGAAATTTTTTTACCTTTTTTCGAAATCAGTGTTTGGCCATAAAATTTTAAATTTTCACTTGAAGATGAATTTTGGAATTTTTCAAAAATTTGAAAAACTCCAAAAAGTTGTTTTTCAAAATTTTTACTCAGATCACTTACAAAACTTTAAAAACAACCAAAAATTATATTCATGCCCAAACACAACTCTAGTTTTCAAATACCATTTTCACTTAAAAAAATTTTTTACTTTTTTTCGGAATTTTACAATTCTTATGTCCAAACGCCCACTAAGATTAAAAAGAATGAAATATATTGGGTTTTGTTGAGTTTGACCTTGTCCAAGAAGACAAAGTGGGATAGTGATTTTTGAAAGTTTGGCCTGAGTCTAACTATTGAGAATTACTGGGATTGGTATTAGAAGTTTGAATACCAAACCTGGAGTGATATGAAGTTTATGTGGAGCAATTTGTATCAATTTTGAAGTAAAAACATGTTGGGTGAAATTTCAACACATAACTAAATGTGCCAAACTAATTTAAACAACGTTCAAAATTTAAAGAGTGGCACATAAATCATAATCAACCTATTTGTGCAACTCTCCACCGAAAAAGGGCCGAGCAAGAGGAAGCCAATTGTTGTGAAATTGCACGGGCTAGCCAGTTTTCGGGCTGATAATTGAAAAATAGCTAGGGTTTGCAAATTCATTGAAAAATAGCTACTATTTTGCTGCAACACGGAAGTTCCAACATAATATACTGGAGATTGGTGCACCTGTGTATGAACTTCTAGCATATTATGCTGGAACTCCAACACACAGAAAGTTCCAGCATAATATGCTGGAGATAGGAGCACCTGTGTATGAACTTCCAGCATATTATGTTGGACCAGTATATTATATTGGAACTCCAGCATATTATGCTGGAAGTACATTATATTATATTGGAACTCCAGTATATTATGTTGGAGATAGGAGCACCTGTGTATGAACTTCCAGCATATTATGTTGGACCAGTATATTATATTGGAACTCCAGCATATTATGCTGGAAGTACATTATATTATATTGGAACTCCAGTATATTATGCTGGAATATTTTCCGAATTTTGAAACAGTAATTTCGTTCAGAATTATCTTTACATGAAAAGTGGCTAAATTTCGATTACTTTAAAACTGTAGCTATTTTTCAATTACCACTTGTAAATCTGGCTATTTTTTAATTTCACCCCCAATTGTTGCCTTGCCCCCTTCTAAGGGGCTAGCCAACTCAGGCGTATTGGATGGAAGAGCGATTCCAGGCAGACCTTTAGGCGTCGTTTTGGTAGGCTGTATAAGAATGATACTGAAAATGATGTATTAGTAATGTTTGATTTTAATAATGTTGAAATTAGTTATGCTGGTATTAATTATGTTGTGATTATTTTTTATCGAGTGTTTGGTTTGGTATATTAAAAAAAATATGCATTGCATAATTGTTTTAAAAATTATTTATTTACAAAATACCCTCCGACTGTTTGGAAAGGATTTGGAAAAAGTTTGAAAGGGAAATTTTATCTTTAGACATGCTTATCCATGAATCAAAAACTATGGCATTACTAATGCCATAGTTTGTTATGTATAAGAATAGTATTGAATATGGAATATAACTAATACAGGTATTAGTTAGGGAATCTTACGGAAATGTCTCAAATAAGTCCTAATTTACTAACCTCTAGCCATTAACCATAGACTTACCAAAACTAGCCAAGCACATATAAAAATTAAAAAATCCAAAGAAATAATAATTCTTTCTCTCTAAGAATCATACTCAAAGATCTCCTCCATATTTTCAAGCATGATCAGCAACATTAGATGCAAAACAGAAAGAAAATTTCATGGATGAGGTAGCAAACAAGGTGATGAAATACAAAAAAAATTACAAGATTCCAAAAATCTAAGCAAAAGGGGACATTTTTCAATGGGTATGATCGAAATTCATTGAAAACATATAGGAGCCAATATACAAATTTTGAGGAAGAATGGAGGTGATTTGGACTGATTTGGTATCAAAATTCGTAGTTATAATCGAGTTCAAAAATTCTTCTGCGACACATGCATCAAACACGTACCACACATGTATCTTACACACAAGTATACATGGATATACATGTGATACAAATATAATACATACGTGATATACAAATGATACATGTGATGCATATATCATCTTTTTCCATGTTCATCTTCTACTTCGAGTTTTCAATTCAACCCACTTTAAAACTCTACCAAATCATCCCAAAACTGAGATTTAAACTTCTTAAGATGTACCCAATCTATTCCAACACCCGCTCAAAAGAAAGTAAAAATTTGATTTTTTTTTTTTTTTTTTGCCACAAATAGCTAATTGGCCAATATTTAGTAATATTTTATGAATTGACTAATTTTGTACTAACTTACTTATGGGCTTACATAACTGGTAATTTCGCTATTAGTTATACATAGGTTGAAAAACACTAGCAAACAAGGAACTAATAATACCAAACCCAATACATGTATTATTTTTCCATATACATCCTACTAAACGACCCCTGACTGTGCTGGACGGATCCCATTTTCACTTGTTGCTTAATTACCAGTGAAGATTTTGAATATTGAGGCTAATGCATCTGGCTTATTACGTTGATGGACAAACAAACAAGTACATAACTGGCTATCGGAGTTCTAGCAAACCAGAGTCCCACAAAATTACAAGGATATCGTCGCACTAATCCAAATTTAAATCTTCATTCTCTGCTGACAGACAACCATAGAGAGGCCCAAGAAATATACACAAAGAATCTACTTAAACCAATGCGTCATATATATATTTTGTACAGTCATAAAATTGAAAAAATGCCTATATATACAAGACCGACTAAGGTAAAGAATTTATGGCTTCCTCAAAGCAGACGCTGCACCCATGACAACAGCCAATACAAGGCCCAAACCAGCACCAAGTGAAGCACCAACAGCGGCAGCATTCAGAGAATTGGCCTTTGCCTGAGAATCTTGAATTGCACCTGCAGCAACTGCTCTCTCTCGAGCCAATTCCACAAAAAGCCTATCTCTGGCAAACTCCTAGAGACAACAAAACCACCACATTGTCATGAACAAGGGATGGTGGGGGGGGGGGGGAGGGGGGGGTTAAGAAGTCTATTTTCCACTTCAACTCCTTACCTGCAAAGCAGCTTCTTCATGGCTCCTAAGTACGCGATGGACAAGCTCACACAAAGCAGATACACCATCAACGGGGAGAATAGATGCTTTCTTCTGGAAAGGCCTCCGGACAAGTTCAAGTGGAGCAAAAATTAACTTTTGGGCACCATTCATTCCCTCGTGATCTTTCCCTTCTGTATACCAAGATTGAGGAGCACCAGCGGCACTGGGCATAACATAAGGACATGAGTTGATAACCTCAGTTGTGCTAGGAGATGCTTGATATTCCTTCAGAGCAGCACTAATAGCTGCCTTTTGCTGGTGTGCACTGACAGAAAACTTGTTTGTTATGGCAAGTATCCAAGGTATTCCAAGAGATTTTGCCTCGTTTAGGAGAAGGCATATGGCAGGTTGTGGTTGTGAAGCATTCGAGTCGCTGTAGCGAGGAATTCTATGAGATAGATTATGCACAAGTATAACCAAATCGGTTTTCTTACTGAGATCGCGAATTCCTTTCCACAGGTCATCCCTGAAATGTGTTGCCTCCATGTTCAGATTCTATAAAACAAAATAGAGGGTCAAAATTTTGAGCACTTAAAAAAAACAAATAAATCCAAGCAATGACAAATAAAGCGACCAAATGAGTACATGACCATCCATGGAGAAAGACAAAGTGAGAAGTGACAATTTTAAGCAGCTCTTAACGAACTTCCATTTAAGACTGTTTCTAAGAAAATTTAGCCAAAATATCTAAGAAAGATTGCTCTCTTCCCCCTTTTCCAAAACCTTGCTGCAATAAGGTGCTTGCTTTGAATATGGGAAGATGTATGATGTCTTCTGTTTCACCATGTATGTTTTTCAGGTAAAATGGCATCCAAGACATAACTTGCAAGTGAGGGGAAAAAAATGTAAAATCGAAGTTTCATATAACAGGAACGTTGAGCATACATAAATAGATTGAGAGAGAAATGTTTCTCCTAAAAAAGAACTCAACTCAAAGTTACACTAACACTTGTCATAAACTTAGATTTTCCTTTCTTTTTGAACAAGGACTAAGATTTTCCTCTTTTCTCTCAAAGGTTTATTATTATTTGTTTTTTTTTTTATCTACTCGTCTGGGGTAGGGTTTAAGGTCTAGCGTACATACTACCCTCCCCAGACCCCACTTGTGGGATTTCACTGGGTTGTTGTTGTTGTTGTTGTTGTATTATTGTTTTGTTTTTTGGTAACCGAGAAATCCCTGAAGGTCGGCTTGCGCATTGTTTGAAACTAGGTAAATAATGTGCCGCCCTCTATCCTTTTCCATTTAAATACTAGGCTTTTGTCTGGGCCAGCCTTCGAACCTGTGACGTGCGCGTAAGAGTTGCGCTCTTACCACTAGACTAAAGCTATTGGGGCCAAAGGTTCACTATATTTTTCTAAACAGTTTGTCCAGATATTTCATTGATCAGGGTTAACTTTTGTGCACGAATCTGTTCCTCTAGAAAGAGTTCACAGTTCCGAAGAATTGACAGCAAAATTACTTCCTCCGACCCCCGATATGTAACCTACTTTAACATGCACACTGATCAAGAGTAAAATGGTAGAATAAATTTATTCAGTAAGTTCGGTAGAGAAATGTTTAAAAATACACTTAGAAATGTAAAGATAGTGAAGTTAATTTGAATGATGTCCCATCAAATTCAAAAAATTAAAAAATAGTTGTATTTGCTTTTGGATTTTTGGAGAGAGAAAAACTTGCCACTTAAGGAAATGGGTCACCTTTTTTGGGACGAAGGAAGTGAGTCACATCCCAATCGGGTAAAAAGCTGATGACGGGATCTTAAAAAAAATTAGCAACACAACATTTGGAAGGTATATGAGTCTTCCATATTTAAAGCACCACCCAGAAAAGAGAGATGGAGCAGACGAGTTAAAGGAACCTGCAGATTAACTCCAGCTGAATCAGAATAGCACAAGCCACAGGCAATTCCCTCTTGAACATCATTGTCTGCATGTAGATTTTCAATACTCTCAGTGCGAACACTTCGGCCTCGATCCAGAATTGCCTTTAAAAGAGAGGTTTTACCAGATCCCTACATAATTCACAAGTATTAACTACAGAGAAATCTAAAACTTCATCTGTCTCAAGTCTAATTTAAAACCAATCATACCTCAAGACCAATTAACCTAACCCTACGGGTTCTCAGATTAACCTCTTTCCAGACGGTAGAAAAATCAGTTGTACAGTATATGACGAAATCATCTAAACCATCTGGGAGTATGAAATTCCCCTCTTCTACCTTGGACACGTTTTGCTTCAATTTTGTATCAACGTAGGATGAATCAATTGACGAAAACATAGGTATATCCTCCACCATGTGGTGCTTAGGGGGTCGTCTCAATGGAGCTCCAACTAGTACTCGCATATTTTGAACCTCTGGTTGTTCTCCATGATCTGGTAAGTGAGCTGGGGGTGAAGGAAAAGACTCCACGGAGGTTGAACACCTAAATTTAAAGTTTAAATATAAATATAATCTCACTGAAACACACATATAACGTATCTTCTCAAATGTTAAAGGCATTCATCAGGTAAGCAATTCTTATTACCAATATAACTTACTAACTTCTCTGGTAATCACAACTTATAATATCCATTAAACATGTCGTTGGGGAAGGCCAGAAGAAAACTGACTGATTCAGGAGCATGATCAAACAGAGAACTCCTAAAGAATATAAATAACTACTTATTGGAACTTCCATTTACTTTGGATCGTTTTTATTGGCAATCAAGACTGGCCTTGTAGGAGCCAATGGTCTACCAAGCTGATCAATGGATAAAGTCTCATTTCCAACAATCATTCAATCAACTGAAGGAGCAGAAACATGATAAACACTTCGGCATAAAGTCCGATTGCAGAGAACAAGTTTTAATAACAATTACGGGACGGGAATGACAAAGAACAAATGTCCTACTACATTTCATATTCAAGAAGTAAAGACATATTTTGACTCTTGGCAAAGGAAACTTCTACACAGCTCTTACACATAACAAGATATGACATTACACATGAATGCCCTCTCTGATAGAACCCATGATGACCTATGTTACTGTATTAAACTGATGCATTTTTCAGTTTCACAAAGAAAACTAACCTACAAAAATCAAATTCTCTAGAATAAAACTCATCATGAAGATACTACAAGTATCCTTTTCATGTAGGAATCTTGGACAAGAAACTATACAACGTTGGATTTTCACCTTTAAACAATGTTTTAAAATCAACAGTTGAGACTTGCCACAGGACTTATGCATGGGCAAGGAATCCTACAAATGCCCCAAACTGATCATAGGGCTTAAGCCTCATGCAACTAATGCCTCAATAGGTGTAATGTCTGCCCAATGCATCTTTTACTGCTAGGGCTGACCATATGTAACACTTTATGCCTCTATACGCCACAGAACATTTTCTTTTAAATATTTCACAATAACTATATAATACTATGTTGTTCTACAATTAAGAATTTGAGACTTCGAAGATCATTACATACATATATTATTTGCCTAGAGAGTCAACTTAAATTTTTAATGCTTTCAAAATTTTACACAATTTTAATGTGTATTCTGTAATGTTTCATAGTTGAATATATTCTCATTTATGTCCATCTTAATTCTTAATAATAAAAGAAATCATAGGACATACATCCCATGGCTTAGAGCATATGTCCTGCCAGCCTATGTATACCCTGCCCTGCACCTCCGCCCTTTAACATTGTTTATACTCAAAAACTTTCCATAGAAGACACATAAATCGCTCCATATGGAGAATTGATCCAAAAGGCGGGGAAAACAAGCCACTTAAAACATTCGCACAGAGCTCCAGAACACAAACATAAATTGAAAAAACATATGTTAATCCAAGAGGATTCAGCTTCAGTGTGTCAAGATCCATTGAAAGGTAAACAGCTACTTCACAAAATAAAAAGTTAATTCTACAAAAATTCAACAATCAGATAAAAGCTATAGAAGGAAATCAGTATAATAAAATGGTCAAAATAAATTTTACAGAAATGAGGGTAATCATGGATTTGATAGGGGGATAAAGGGAATACCAGCGCCCATTTACTCGAGCTTCAACAAGTGTACACAGATGTAACCCAAAACCAGATATGTCAACTTTCAAAGGATCTGTATTCTTCCCACAAGGAATACCACTCCATCCGAGTGGAACAAGTGAAGTGGCAGTACGGATGACAGGGGACTCCACAATGTGCCCTAGATCAACAGTCCCACCGACGGAAATGCCTAACCATTTCTGTAACTGTGGGAATTGCTGCATTTGTTCAATCCCCAAGAAAGGTATTGTGTCATCGCTCATGCAAAGTTCATAGATTCTGTAAATAAAAATTAAGTGGGGTAACCATCAAAAATCATATTGCACAAAGTTAATTAGTAAAAATAAATAAATAGATATAAATACAAAAATATACAACAGCAAAGAAAAAAAAAAGATACATCCAACCACAACATATTTCTATATGGTTTTGGAAAAGAAGGGACAAACGGGTATCCGAAGAAAGTTACTTCAACATCTTAAAACATAGAGTTTAACAAGAAGAGTATATCTACCACAAAGTTGGCACATATGGTATTAAAACATTCTTGTTTCATCAGCGCCCTCAACTAAGAAAGACAGTTGGAAACCTCCACTCCAATTGATCAGACTTTCTTGATCTTCAAAAGATATTCTTGCGATAAACTCATTATCTAATATTGTATAACTTTTTCTAGTTTATGTTATCTGAAATCATTTAAAGGAGAATACCACTAGTATATTAACTGAATTCCAAGATGATACCAGAAAAGAGTACAAATATCCATGCAGTTAATTACAACATTTTCTAAGTAACTCCATAAAATCCATGTAATGATCAATATTATCTACCAAACTACTATTACACCAAAGAAATAGATTGTGCAGACACTTATTTTTTATTCTAGAAATATGATCTTTCTGCCCATCAAAGCAAGCTCTATTCCTCTCTAGCCAAATAATCCAGAATATGCAGAGGTATGGTTCTCCAAATATGTTTAAGTGCTTTATGTGTCTTCTGATGCTGCCAACCATTCAAAAGGGTCCTGACATTCTGAGGCATGGTCCAAAAAATCCCACATAAATTGAAAAAAAGCTCCCAGCACTGTCTAGCATATCTACAATGCAAGAAAAGGTGATGGTTCTCCAAATATGTTAAGTGCTTTATGTGTCTTCTGATGCTGCCAACCATTCAAAAGGGTCCTGACATTCTGAGGCGTGGTCCAAAAACTCCCACATAAATTGAAAAAAAGCTCCCAGCACTGTCTAGCATATCTACAATGCAAGAAAAGGTGATTAGTAGTCTCCAGTTCTTCTTCACACAAATAACATCTGCTACACAGAACAAAGCCTCTCTTCTGAAGATTATTTTGGGTAAGGCAAGCTTCCCAAGCTGCAGTCCAACCAAAACATGCAACCTTTACAGGAGCTTTGTTCCTCCAAATCACTTTCCAAAGCCAATTAGGTTCCCAGTGACTTGCATTCTTCCTTAACAAATTATAACAATTTTTGACTGAGAACTTTCTGTCATTACTAGCATTCCACAATAATGAATCCTTCTTATTATGATCAATGTGGATAGAGCTCAACTAAGAAAGCATCTGATAGAAATTTTCCATCTCCCAATCATTTAAATTCCTTCTAGAATACATCTGCCAGCCAGAATCTGAGAAGAAATCAGCCACCACTCCATCCTTATTATTACATCAGTTCAATAAAACACGAAATTTATTTCTCAAACATTCCTCACCATTCCATAAGTCACTCCAAAATTTAATCTTTCTTCCATTCCCCACCTCCAAGCTAGTAAACTGCTTGAACTCCTCCCATAATTTGCAAACCTCTTTCCAAATTCCCCCTCTAGTATACACGCTATTGAAGGGGGGATTCCATCCTTGACGACTACCATAAATAGATTCAACTATTTTAACCCAAGCTGCTTCTTTGTCACTATGAAATTTCCACAACCATTTGAACAGCATACTCTTATTATGAAGTCTCAAGTTCCTGACACATAGGCCTCCTCCTCCTCCTCTTTTATCTCTGAGAGCTGTCTGCCAATTGACTAAGTGAATCTTTTTACATTCATTATTTCCATCCCATAGGAACTTATTCCTCATGGAGTTCAATTTCTTTTCAATTGCAGCAGGCATAGGAAATAAAGCCATTAAGCAGGAGGGCATCCCATCCAGAACACTGTTTATCAGAGTTAGTTTGCCTTCAAATGATAGATACTGCTTCTTCCATGGAGTCATTTTTTAGCACATCTATCCAAAACACTTTGTCAAACACTTTGGTCATTTCTTCTCACCCGAGGGGGAATCCTAGATAAACTGTAGGGAATTTATCCATTTGGCATCCTAGAATATTTGCTAGTTCTTCTATATTGTCATCGGCATTGAAGCTATAAATATTGCTCTTCACCAAATTGACCAATCTTTCTGCCCAGAGACTGCTTCAAAAGCCAATAAGATTTCTCTGAGATATAGAAGATGTTCCTTTTCAGCCTCACAAAATAACAAAGTGTCATCGGCATATAGTATGTGAGGTATCATCACATTTGCACCATTCCTTCTTCCAACATTAAGTCCTTTGATCCAACCCAGCAGTTCAGCCTTCTTCAGCATGTTACTCAGCATCTCCATAACCGAAACAAATAAACAAGGTGATAGGGGGTCACCTTGTCCCAGTCCTCTTTGGAATTTGAAGTAGCCATGAGGGCTTCCATTAATGAGAACTGAGAATCTAACCGTGGAAATACAGAATCTGATCCATTCAAGCCATTTACCTCCAAAGTTCATCAGCTTCATGACGTTGATCGGGCATGACCAGTTAACATGACCATATGCCTTCTCAAGGTCAAGTTTACAGGCTACGCCTCTTGTCTTCATTTTCATAAAGTGTTCCACGCTCTCATTTGCAATTAGGGCAGCATCTATTATTTGTCTACCTTTTATAAAGGCATTCTGATTGTGAGATATCAATTTGTCAATGACCACCTTCAACTTTTCAGCCAACAACTTAGCAAAAATCTTATAAACACTACCTAATAAACTAATAGGCCTGAAATATTTCACTTCTACTGCTTCTTTCTTCTTTGGTATCAGGGCTATAAAAGCAGAGTTCAAACTTCTAATGAAAGTACCTTTTTGATGGAAGTCAGTCACAGCATTCCAAACATCCTCTTTTATGGTTCTCCAAAAATACAGATTAAAACCATGTGGACCTGGGGCTTTGTCTCCATCAGCAGAACTGATGACTGATTCAACTTCTTCTAAAGTAAAAGGCCTCTTCGGCCACTCCCTATCTTCCTCTAACAGCTTCTTTAAATCTTCATCTTCCCAACTAAGTCTCCAAGTTTCTTTCTCTGTAATTAGATTTTCATAAACTTCCTGGATGTGCTCCTTTATGATCTTATTATATTCCACAAGTTCTCCTTCTATCATTAACTTGTCTATAGAATTGAACCTCTTGTAAGCATTTGCTTGCTTATGGAAAAGTTGTGTCTCTGTCACCCTGCTCAATCCATAAGCATCTAGACTTCTGCTTCTAGCTTATTTCCTCACATTTTGCTACTTCTTCAAGCTCCATTATTCCAGCATTTCTTTGATTTTCTAATTGCTCTTGATTCTGATTTTCTCTTGACCCATGATCTATTTGTTCCAACCTTTCTAAAACCTTATTCTTCTTTGTTTCCGGACTACCAAATACTTCTTTATTCCATTTTTTAATATATGCCTTCAACAAGCTCAGTTTTTTTGGAAGAATGACATCAGGATCTCCTTGAACATCATATGACTTCCACCAAGAATCTATTAAATTAGAGAAATCCTTGTGTTCAAACCACATATTCTCAAACATAAAGTAACCTTTTCCTTTATCCCAATTTCCACATTCCAGTAAAATGGGGCAGTGATCAGATGTAGTTCTAGGTAGGACTCTTTGCTTGATAGCCCTGAAGTGTTCATCCCATCCCTCTGATAATAGAAATCTATATGTCCTTGATGCAGTCTACTCTACTCATTAAAACCTTTGAACCAAGTGTATGAGCCACCGTGTAAAGGAGGATCTATCAAAGATAAGTCAACTATGAATTTTGAGAAATCTCTCATTACTCTTGTATTCCTGGCTCTACTTGTTCTTTCTTCTTCAAATCTGATAACATTAAAGTCACCCCAATAGCCCACGTTTGCTCTACAATTCCACCTACAGTTGCCCGTTCTTTCCATAACCTTTTCCTCTCTTTTCTGTTACATGGTCCATACACTCCTGTGAAAGCATATTGTAGACCCGAGTTTCCCTCTTCCAGCATAATAGTACTAGAGTATTGCCCTTGTGCTTCTATCTCAATCCAGTCTGACCATCTTGACCCCCAACCTGCTGAATACAAGAGGGATCCACCCCTTTCAATTTTGTCTCTGTTAAGCATACTATGTCGGCATTCCACTTTCGTAGTAAAAGTTTCACCATCTCCTTTTTCTTATTGTGATTTAAACATCTTACATTCCAACAGATGATTTTTAACTTCATTGAGTGTCTGTTGAAACCCTCCTACCCCTGTATCTTCCTCCATTACTGGATTCCCCTTTAAATCCAACCCCGAAAGCTACCAGAGCTTTTAATTCCCTCTCACCCCTCTTACTAGGTGTAGTACTGTTAGCAGATGGGGGAAGAAGGTTGCTTATTTGGTCTTTTATTCCCAATACATGACAACAAATCAAACAACTTATCCTCCTCTTCAACACATTTTATCCCCAATTGCTTGCTAATTTTCATAATATGCCTCTTCAGCCAGTTTGATACCTCCATCTGATTCAATCGCTCTTGCATATCGGTCGCCTTATTCTCCCATGGTAACTTCAAAGTGTCCAGGGCTTTGACAATCGCAATCGGCTCCACAGAGATAGGAGATGCAATCTCATCTTCACTTTTTGAAAAAAGACCCAGCACCCAATCTTCGCTTTCATCATTTCCCATGTTTGACTCTTCTACATGCTCCGAGTCAAATGAAACTTGACTGGTGTCTTCTTCCCTATATATAGACAATCTTTAAATTGCTCAAAACACCAGTTTCTTCTTCATGGTCTTTGTTCAAATTTCTCATTGGTCATTGGTCTTAACGAAGTATTTTGTTTCATCTGATTTGATTCCACCTCAATTCTAAGAGGATCGAGATCAGAAAGGCTTTCTGACTCCAATGGGCTGAAAGAATTCTGAATATTAATACATGGATCGACCCATTTGGGCCAGTAAATAGTTTTTCTCTTATTTTCTCTTTTTATTGGCCCATTCGAATTAATAGCTCTCTTCTCATTTTGGGCCTATTCGTCTTTCTGCTCTTTTAAAATGACTTGGCCCAACAAAATATTTATTAGGGTTCCCTATATTAGGCTCCCCTATCAGTGATGGACCAGCACCCACTTCTTTCACCACTTCTTTCCCTTTCCCCGCCACGTCGCTCTGAATTAGATTGGCATTTATATTACGCATAACTCCTTTGTCTGGCATGCGAAAATCATGCGTAACCCCTTCACTGGGAAAGCACGACGTCCTTAATTGCTCAGATTCGGGACTGTTTGACTTCTGGGGAATATCCGGCAACTCTTTACCAAATTCCGGTCAGCTTCGTCCACCCAGGATGAAGATTCCACCCAGACAGGGATTGTGAATAGCAAATCGTCCACAAAGAACTCCAAACTTGCCGGAGGTATATCCTTTGGAATCCTAACACAGATTCAAGCCCATTTCAGATGTTTTCTATATCTGGTATCTTGTTTATACCCAGGAAACCTCCAAATCTATAACCAATTGCTTTAAAGATATTATCTGACTACAAATGTGATGGAAAACCCATAAGCTTGATCCAAACATGTTTGGGTTTGCAATTCTTCTTATGACGGGTAGAAACAAAGGACCACCTCTCCAACCTCAACTCCTTTCCATCAAACATCCATTTCCCCATTTTGATTCTCTCTGCTTCACTCCGAGATGGGAACTTAAATAGCACATATTCACCATCCAATTCCTTGGTCAGAACACCAGCTGGAACTTTCCAAGTTTTATTGGCCCATTCCTGTATTTCCTGACAAGAATAAATTTCATCCCATCTTGTTTAAAATAACCCAGTAAGCATTTTCTATGATATTCTACTCTGCTACGAATTGAGGTTGAATAAATTCTGAATTGGTTCTTATTCAATGAACCATCCATTATAATCTTGATCTCATCTTTGGCCATTTTTCTTTCTCTGATGTCTGCATATAGCTCCTAACATTGACGCTCCTTTGTTGTTGTTGTTGAATACCCTGCTTTGCTTTGCCCCTGCCTGAATGAACAATCTGATTCTGAATTGCATAATCACACCATCCTTCATCAATACTGTTTTCTGGGATGATTATGGCCACCTTGCTACTTCCTTTCGTTGCCACCACTCTTATATATCTTTCAAAACTGTTCAAATTTTTATAGAAGAAGTATGAATACAACTGACTATGATTCTTCAACCTTCTACACTTCTTTTCATTCTTGACGGAGGCTTGCTCCATAACACAGCAGAGGGCTAACAAGTTCTTTCTGTCGAAAGTTAATCTACTAATGAAATTTTTACGTCTTTCAACCACTTCATACCAACTTTCGCTCAACTCCACCGCTTCAAAAGATCTGTTTTCAGCATAGAAGAAACAAGATCTGCCCATGATGTCTATTTTACTACCACCTTCACCTTTCTCGTCACTGTATACTAGGCTTAAGTTACTCCGTGAAGAATGTTAGATAAATAAGACACAAGAAGTTAGACAGAGAAGTGAGCAAGAAAATGCTATAAGAAAAGATGTTCGGAATCGAGTAAACCGAAGGAAGATAAAAACCAGAAAGCTGAATTCTATGGGTATGATCAGGAAGAAGAAGAGAAGAAATTTACAGAAATACGCCGGAGATTAGAAGGAAATATTCAGATGGATTTGCCGGAGGGAAGAATTGAACAAAGAAGTTAAATGGTTTTTTCGTTTCCCAAGAGAGAGAAACTACCCCATGATTGCATGTGTTGGAATACCACTAGTGTATTCATTTGAAACAAAGTATATTCTAATCCCTTGTACTATGACTGACAACTATCACATTGACAACAATAGACAAACGAGGGCAACCACAAGTGAACATGGGGTACCAAGTGAGTTTAAGCGTTCAGGAAAGTATTTTAACATACATGAGCAGAGAAACTGCCACAACGTGAACTTAAAATGTAGAAGTAGTGAAAAGATCTGAAAAGCTTGTTACTATTATTAACCTATTTTAGATATTCGTAAAGGTTTCCTTTAACAAATTGTGTGTGGATTCCAATTACTAGCACAAATCATCATCTGAACCAAATCCCTCCATCCCTCTCTCTCTATCTCTATATCTTTGTCTCTGTGTGTGTGCAATGTCACACTATAGCCACTACATTATTCCTACAAAACATAAATTTAATATACTATTTTTTGTGTTTATAAAATGCAAAGGAGACTTATACCGTCAGACCTCTCTATAACAGCATCCTTATATAACAACACTTCACTATAAAGCCAAACTTATTCGGAAGCAATTTGCATGTTATGTTATAATATATGTTCTATATAACACCACTTCGCTATAGCATTCAAAAATATACGGAGCAAACAAGGCTGTTATAGAGAAGTTTGACTGTACCACGGAATTCAAACAGTAAGAAATATTAACTTAGCAACCATTATTTTGAAGCATCAACTTGAGAAACTCTACTAAATTGATTGCAGAAAATTTTCCAGTCTGATCAAGAAAAGTCACGATAATTGAATAAAGAAACTAAATCATGCAAAGGTACTTTACGAGTGCCCCACAAGGACGACGAATTCACCCACATAATGTGACCACATAATTCTCACCTCTCATGATTTCACGTAGGGGGGTGGATAAAGCCAACTTTTAAATTCAAATGATATAACATGTTACCTTTGAAACCGGGATCTGTATGACTTCATCGAATGCGATTGAAATCTTTCCCTTACTTCAGCAAGTACAGATCTGACCTGAAAATGTCTTTGCCATAAGAAGCAACCAAAATGAGAAACTACTAAAAGGCATCAGATATTTCTTCTTACAGCATGACTGCCAAGACAGAAACGTTAAGCAGAGGGTTTTCTCGCTTCATGCTTGTGGAGGGATAAGGATAAATAGACAATACACTGCCTTTATGTTTGACTTCACTCATCTTTCCACTGGTTTGAGAGACTTTAAACCTTTCCGCCTTTTCAAGAAGAGGAGGATGTGAGGAGATGACATCCCCACTGAGTTTATTAAACCCCAAGAACCTATAAAAATTTGAAACTCAAAGAAAGGTAAATAGAACTCATACCGATGTCAATTTTGAGTATTCTGCACCAGAGAGAAACTCCACAGATGAATTCCCCAGGAGAAAAAGCTGTTGAAATCGCATATTTAGCACAGACCAGATGTTACATATATAAGGTAAATAAGTCAAAAAATAACTTGGCATTAGACCAGCCCATGCTGATATGGCGAGATAGAAAGAACTACATCTCAACTCCAAACTAGTGGGGGTCGATAATAAAAATTCCTCCATACATTCTGCTATCTTTAGGGCCTATTTCATTACAATATGGGTGAGTCGATTGTTTTAAAGCAAATAAAGGGTTCTCTAAAACTAGAACGAAGTTTTCTAGATATCATACAATCCTTTCTCGGGCCTAATGTAAATGTAACAACAACTGAGCTTAATCCTAACTAGTTGTATCGCCTACATGGATCATTTGCTTCTACTGTGTACTACTCTTAGTCAATTCAGCATTAGTTCGAAGAGATAGTAAGTCTTTAGAGAAAATATATGTGATTTTAGATTTCTTTGATCCCCTTTTAGCACCTTCAATCACCATAAAGTCACAAACCTACAAACTGGAGCACTAGAGGTCTACGCAGATCATAGCCAAATCATACCATGCACCACCTTCTCTTAGTATATCCTCTATGCCTGTTACTAGCACCCTCCGTATCATTTCTAGTTATATCCATCTTGTATGACCCCGCACACAGTGTTTTCCAGAGCGAAACGCGCAAAAAAGCGACAAGAACCGTGGGCTTGTAGTGAAAAGTGTGAAGTGAAGTGAAGCACACGCTTCTTTGAAGTGAATCGCACATTTATGAAAAATGAAAAAAATACTGTTTAGTATGATAAGAATCATATTGCAATTGAATTAACTAATTTCAGCATCCAAAATAAAATAGTGTCGATATTAATCCAACTATTCAAAACTGAGATTCAATTAACCGACCACTTCTATTTTGGAACACTTTGTGTGTCATTGTTTGAAACGCACACTTCTCTAAAGCAATGCGCTTTACCCATGGAGCAATAAGCCCTCACTTTGCATTGTTCACCACTTTAAGCGACAAACCAAAGACTTTTAATAACACTGACTGCACATCCACCTTTATAGGCTTAGATCATTAAATCTTAACATCTACCTTTTTAGCGCCTCATGCAAATAAATTTAGCATATATCATGGAGACGCATGGTGTCACTACTCCAAGATGGAATGCAACCTTACCACATTTCCCTAACCTTGGAAGATTTCACCCAATCCAAAAGATAAAAGAGAGAAAAGAAAGTAAAAAATCAACACTAAAATTACCACAACCAGCACAAACAGCAAGTTTAAAACTTCCACGAGCAGAGAACTAATGCAAGATGTAATAATCCTTTTTTCTTTACAAAACTATATTGACTGGGGACAGAGTTTAAGAAAGAAAGAAGAAATTTGGCTACCAAAAGTAAGCATGTCATCATCAAGGATAAAAAAGGAAGTTCAAAGTAAAGAGTTCCCAAATATAGAAAGGCATCATTCTTTATAGAATTGACTAAGACGGAAAGAATACCATATAAAATAGAACAAACAGAGTAACAAATTACGAGAAGGGAACAGAAGAATGAGGAAAAGAAAACCAAAAAGAAATAATAAGTTAATAGAAGTCATGTATCAGAAGTAAACAAAAAAACTGCAGAGAAAGCATAATAAGTCATGCATGTAATAATCAGAATAAAATAAAGCACCGAAGAACAAAATAGATGGTATATCAACCTGCCCAAATGGTACATACAAGGGTAAGTACGGCATGCGGCGCCACCCCTTCTTGTCCCCGTTATTGGTATTACTTTCCGCTACAGATTTACCCATTTTATCTTCACCAGTAATGTCTTCATCCGTAGGTAATGGTCGGAGAGAAATGCCATCAGAACCTTCTTGAATTTCAAGAGACTGAGGGGTATTAGTTATATCATTGACCGATGGCATTGAAACAGAATCAGTAGTAGATGTCTCAAGAGGTTCAACTTTCTTTCCTCTGTATCTATACAACTGCTTTCTAACACCCTCTAAGGGCACAAGCCTTGAAAGCCTCCAAAAGGAATTCTGCACTGGACCTACACCCAGCACCAGCTGCTCTCCTTCATTATCTTTTGCTTTTTCAGTTTTCTGCTTCAGTAGCGACAATTCACTAGATGTTGACGTGGATAATGAAGCTCCACCATCAGAAGGTATTGGCAGAGACCGTGCATTATAATGATGAAAATAAGCAGGAGATAAGATGCGCGGCACCAAATCTTCTGGAATGCAGTAGGTTTTGAAATAATGCTGCCAACCTTTTCCATTCACATATCTGGAGAGAGAAAATCAGGTCAGAAGCCAGAAAATATATATTTTTTTTTATAAATAACAAGAAAGATTAATTTCATACTCACTCTCTCAATGCAGCATTTCCGACTGGTGGTTGGGAAAAGGTGATACACTTCACCTGAACTTTCTCATTCTCTTTCGATGAAGCAGCAAAAACTCTCAGAATCGCAAGGGTTGATAAGACGGCTACCTGTAAAAACAACACCTAAATCAACTTCTCCAAAAAAAAATAATTGAGACACGTACAATGACACGAGAGCAAATGTCACTGCCCAAGCAAGCTCCAACTTACTGCTCCACCAAGTGAATGGCCACATAATACTAGTTTGCGTTTCTTTTTCTGGGCAAGCCTGTACAGCTCCAGAGCGGGTATGCCTTTAGCACGTGCCATGAAACCCTAAGGACAATAGCTGCCAAAATTTAAAGAGCGAAAAACGAAAATTGGAAACTAGAAGACACCATATATATATATATATGTGTGTGTGTGTGTGTGTGTGTGTGTGTGTGTGTGTGTGTGTGTGTTGTAAACACGCGATAATAACATGCAAATGAGAGTTCTAATACCCTATGTGCAGCAGGTTTTGGAGTCAACTTCGTTGGCTTAGTTTTAGATTCCAAAAGTTTAGAATGATTCTCTATGTTGCTCCTTTGAGTGTCCACCTGACCAGACTCCATAGATTCAAGTCCATGAATATCTTCAACAGCATCCTCATGGAATAAGGCACCTTGAAATATATTCACATCAGCCATGACATCCCTTCATAACCAAAAAAAAAAGGACATAAAAGAAAATGGAAGTGTAAAGAACGTATCTCACAAAAAATACAGACGCCTGCTATCAGAACTGAAAGAGACGTGCAAACTTACTTATATTGCTTGGTCCCAATAAAGGAAGCAAATAATGTATCTCCTGCTTCCGCCAAAAGATACCTATAAGAAAGAAAAATACGGAAATAAGAAATAAAAGCACTGAGATGCAAGGGAAAAATAGTGTAGCTTCAATAACAATGACAACAACAAACCAAGTGATTTCCCGCAAGTTGGGTCTGGGAAATTAAGATGTACGTGGCCTTACCCCTACCCTGGAAGGGCAGAGAAGGCTGTAAATAGTGTAGTTTCCATGTCTAAAAACCTTGCACATCAAACCACACCTTTCCTCTTCTTTTTTTGGAGGCATTAAACCAAACATAAGCTCAGAAGATGCAACAAAAATAACTGCAAAGAGATGGTAATTGAACATGAACTGAATTTTGAGCAATCAAATTCTGGTAAAGGAAAGCAGCTTCTTTCGTTTACCAGCTACATTGACTAACACACCAAGAACCATCACCCTTCCCCCTCCCTAACCCACTCAACAACCCATTGGTGTAGCAGGGCCACACAAAGTGGAAAGGAAAGATTGCAAGCACGTGTAGATGTCAAAAAGGAGTGAAAAGAGTTGGGGACGCATAGATAAATTGAAATTCGATTTCATCTGTCTAGAAGGAATCTGAAATAAGATTGAAACATCCATTATGTCCTGATTTTACCATCACAGAAAAAGAGTGCAAAATATATTATGCCTACTTAGAGCACTCAGGGATGAACTTGTTTTCATCATATCTTTAAACAATGACATTACAACTTAGATGCACATCAAGCATCTTCCAGGAATTATTGTCACAATATTTCTCCTTGTTACTTCTCAGGAAACAGCCACAGCTATCAAGTAAGACAGAAAACCATCTGCAGTAACCTATGCAACAAAGATTTGTTTGCATGACATCCACTACCAGTTCTCACATCTAATAAAGCCATTGAATGCCCAACTCTTGAACTTAATCAACATTTTACAAATAAACAAACCACTTTATATACAAGGTGTTCAATAATGGCTCTAACTAGTTAACTCCAATTCAAAATACCACCAACATAACAGAAACAAACAGAATAAAATAAATAAATAAATAAATGAAAATAACAAAATGATGACAATGATCTAAAAGAACCTATGTGGAACATGATCCGAAGAAGGTTGAACGCGCTCTAAGGAAACAACTTCTCCTCCAAAGTCAGCCTTAAATTTATTCACTGCCCGCACCATTTCAGCAGCAGGTCTCTGTCATGACAGGATGTCAGATTTTGTAAGCAAAAACAATGAGTCTATAACTACTTCAATATTTTCCATTTGAAAAACAATAAAGCACTACCCCCTGCTTATTACCCTCATTAAGCCAGGCCATCGGCCCCTTGCATCTAACCCCCCCCCCCCCACCCACACACACACAATTGTGGCCTCTTACTATTGGTTAGATAAATTCGTATTAAACTTAGAGTTGCCTTCAATTTTGCAAATCTTACATGAACGTGATTACAAATTTATCAGAGCTCAGACAGCAGGTAAGAAAGCTCCTTGAATACTTTCAGTAAGTGTCTAACTGATGTGTTATAGGCGTGTATGTCCACATGTCTTTGCTTCCCTTCATGATCCATGTGAAGCTTTTATTTATCTTTAACTTGATTACATCACCCACCTAAACGTGTTAAGCCCTGAAATTAGGTGCGGCACAGGTTAGACACTTAGACTCTCTTAGGTCACACTTTGTGCCACTAAGGTACAGGCTTTATCTTGAATACAGCAATGTTAAATAACAAATACATATGCTAAAGTACACGTTAATCTCTACAGAAACATTGTTTATGAATATATTAGTAATTATACAATTAAAAAATGCTGCTTCATGTGCAGATGATCAGGAGAAGACGTGGACCATTTACTAGTGCACTGCCAAGTTGCACCCCTATTGGGGTCAGACTGTGTTGAACTGAAATCACGCTTTAATTGTACTTCACACTTAAAGCCCTGCATATCCTTGGAGCTTTTATATCATTTGCCTTTGAGAACACTGCTCCCACTTTATTACCCTCATTAAGTTAGGCAAGCACTAGCTAGGGCCGCAAACTGCATCTGCATCACTTTTTCTCTAGAAGTTTGTGTCCTCTAAGCCATAGTTCGAAATATTCATTTTATTGTCTTCATAGTTCCAATTCTTAAATGAGACATTATGATGTAATTAAAAATCTATTAGAGCTCAATTAGAAGGTAAGTAAAGAGGAAGTTCATTGAAAACTTTCAGTACCAATGCGTTATAGGTATTCATGCCTATCCGCAGAAGAGTGCGAACATATATCTTTATTGAAATGTGTCTTAATTTGCACCATAAACTCTTTCCCTGCATTTCTATTAAGCCGCCTAATTACAAACACAGGCACTGCATAGAATGCAATCATTAACAGTGCACTGTTAATTCTAAACATTGCATTGAACGTTCCACTAACACATTTTCAGGGAAATCAAAATTTACCTTATATACACATTCAGAGAGCACCATGCAACAAAGGATATCCTGCAAATCAGCAACAGATTCAGCCTTAACAGCAAGACAGAGTTCCTGAAGTTGCTTCTTCCTTCTCTCGTACTCTTCCTGAATCAGTTTCCTCTGCTCTCTGTCATCCGCCCAAGGCCACCGCACAACCATTTTCCACTGCTGTGGCCACGTGATTTTCAGGATCTTTGATTTTTGGCCTCTGATCCATGATTCTACTCTCCGTTGTAAAGACTCCATAGTCCGCTAACCCTAATGACGCTCTAATTAACCGCCCGGGACAACGGCGTCTCTGTTTCTAAAATATCTCGGCGGTTTGTGGTTGCGATTGGCGTGCAAAGTGCCGACTGTACGGGGGAAATGGGATGCCGAATCAGAATATTATCGTTAAAGAATATGCCTAAAAGTAAATAACTTCTGTGGAATAAGCGAAAAAGAAAAAGTATATTTTTCTCCCGAATTTTACTTAAGGAATTTTCTAATAATTTTTTCTTTTAGATCTTCTCTGCATCATCTTTTCTAGATCTTGTACTTTGTGTCTTTTGATCACTTTACCGTTACGCGTCAATTCACTTGTCGGATTCTATAATTGTTAAATAATGTTTGGCTATAATTCTAGTACTATATTTTATGATATTACTGTTGCGTTTTTATTAAGGGGGTGAATGAGAAATGAAAGAGACACCTTTTAGATTGCACTCTTTATATCACCCTTCCTTTGTCTGTAAATTTAAAGGCTTGGCCTCATTTTTAAGACATGAAATCAGACATGGAAAATCTGAAATCTTCTCCCCTCTTTTATACATTGTTGCATTATTTTCTAAATAAACATAAGTGTCAAGAGTGATTTGCTCCGTTTGTTGAGTTCGCTGAAGTTCTGTGATTTGAAGTGCCGCTATCACAGAATAGTTATTCCGTTCTATCCTGGGAGGAATTAATCTGTATACCTTGGGCAACAGTGAGGGGATTAAATTCCTTAAGGACACATTGTGCATTCAGTGGGCTCGGAATTATTTT